ACTTGGTAGCCCAGGCTGGCCTCGAACTCACAGAGATCCGCCTGCCTCTGCCTCCCGAGTGCTGGGATTAAAGGCGTGCGCCACCACCGCCCGGCCTAAGGGACATCACTATTAAGAAGTATGGCCTTGTTGGAGTAGATGTGGCCTTGTATGTATGTATGTCACTGTGGAGGTAGGCTTTGAGGTCTCATATATGTTCAAGCCATGCCCAGTGTGGCAATCTCTCCCTGCTACTTGTGGGTCAAGATCTAGAATTCTCAGCTACTTCTCCAGCACCATGTCTGCCTACATACCACCATGTCCCACCATGATGATAATGGACTAAACTTCTGAAACTGTAAGCCAGCCCCAATTAAATGTTTTCCTTTATAAGAGTTGCTGTGGTCATAGTGTCTCTTCACAGCAACAGAAATCCTAACACACAGTTTAAGTGGAGTAACCTATAATAAGGAAACAATTTCCTTATGAGACACCACAGGCTAACAAATAAAAAAAATTATTGGGAATGGGTTACTTGTTTTGGCCTCTGAGGTCCCATAGATTTCCAAATATTATAGGTTATTGCTAATGCTCTTGGTTATCTTCCATAACATGATGATATTACCTCACTGTAGAAGGTATCACATACTTGAGCCACAGAATATGGAGAAATAAAATTGGTACTCAACTGGAAGTTTCATATTTACTGGCTAGCTTTAATAGTGTTGGAGGGTGCTATGCACAATACCAGAGGAGAAAGTAATCATCAATCCTACTCAACCATGAACCCTGCAAGCTAAAATAATAATTGGCTGGGCAAAGCATGCTCACTGATTAATACTGGCACAACGTAAGAATAAATAACCATTTTCTGATGAATTTAAGATCTGCTCCACAAGCTAAAACCCATACCTGGCACATTATTGAGGCATGAATCTATGCCTATAGAGGTCATAGGCCCTAAAGGTAAACCTACTATTATCACTCTGCTAAAGGATATAGTACTAAATGAAATTCTAATGACTTATCTTTAAATCCCTAGAGTAATGCATCCCTCAACCCTTACTAGAGAAGGTTCTTTTTGGAATAGATGGCATTTAACACAGAGACCCACAGAGGTCATTGTTAGAGAATAAGAGACTGCAGAATACTCAGCTCTAAATGGGACATTTTACATCACACCTCTCTCTTAAGGCTCAGGAGTCACTGTGGAAGAGAGGGCAAAAAGATTTTAAGAGCCCGATGCTGTGGATGACTACAAGGCAGCAGTGTTTTCCAGACCTATCATGGCAGTTGTGACAGCATGTATGTATGAGACCCGTATAAACACAAGCCAGACAAAGAGAGGGCATGAAATGATGCCATTAGCTAAGGGGCTATTGGCAACTGATAGCAACTGGAAAGGGGAGGCCTGCTTTAAGAGTGTGGCCCCAGACAGGCTGACCATGCTCCATTGGAAAGCCACACAAACAAAAGTATAAGAACACAAAGCTGGGTGGGTAGGAAGGGATGTGGATTTGGAAGAGTTGAGAAAGGGATGAATATGATCGAAACACAGTGTATGATATTACCAAAGAATTAATAAGAAATGAGAAAAATACTCTCCAGTGAAAATCAATAAGAAGGACAGGAATCATCTCATGAACCATAAGATTATCATCACAATACTTACAGATATTTTACTGCTGGCAATTTAAAAAAGTAGGGATCTTCAACAATTGTGAGAGGATTACGGCTGAGAATCCTGAAAAATACAAAGTAACTGAAATTATCGGCATTTTCAATGTGCATGAGTCTACTTATAAACTTTATATTAATTTCTTTGGTATGGATTTTTTTTTAAATTGCTTTGTGGGCCAAGAAGATGGCTCAACAGGTAAAGGAGGATGACAATTTGAGAAAGCCTGACAATTCAGGTTCAATCCCCAGGACCTGCATGATGGAAGGAAAACACTGACTTTCCCAAGTTGTTCTCTGACCTCTACATACATACCATGGCAATCACATGCCCTAGCATAAATGTATCCACACACAGACACAAAATAAATGAGTAGACATTAAAAAAACATTTTGGTTTACCTATAAACCACCCCTAGACTCCATAGACATTCCTAGTTTGGAAACAATCCACATGTACAGAAAATAAAAAGACCATAGGGGGAAAAACAGGGAAAAAAGTGGATTGCAAAGAAAAAAATGCCAAAGAATTTTTCATTCAAATATTTTACAGATGAGGAGCTGGAGATATGGTTCAGTGGTCAGAAGTGCTGGCTGCTCTTATAAAGGACCCAGGGTCAGGTCCCAGCATTGACACAGAGGTTTATAACCATCCATAACTCCAGCTTCAGGAGATCCAATGTCCTCTTCTGACTTCTGAGGGCACAGTGTGTGTGGACACACATGCAGGGAAAATACTCAGACACAAAAATAAATAAATCTAAAAAAAATTTTTAAATCCTACAATTACACTGATAGTAAACCCTTTCAATGTAGGAAACATTATTTTTAATGACTTCCACAATCCAAGATGCTTGTCCATTTTTAGAAATATAAAATAATTTGTTGTTAATTCACTCAGTTAAGGGAGGAAAACTTTGTGGGAGAGGGGCTGAGGGCTGGGGAGATTACTTCCCTGGCTTTGGAGACAAAGAACAAAGGATGTCAGAGGAGGAACTGGTCGTATCCAAACTCCAGCAAATGCTCACTTGCATTCTTGGTTAACCAAGCCTGTGTGAGGGTGCCTGTCACCATTTGTCTGTCTCCTGGTCCATGAACTTCTGAGGGCAGGGACCAGGACTTACTGTTACTGTCGTCCTGTGCCTGAAATTACTATGGTATTTTAAAAATGTCTGTTGGATAAATAAGCAACACTGTTTATACATCAATGAAATCAATAAATTCTCTCTCCCACTATGTTGACACAGGCCTTGTTTTGGTGCCCAGGCTGGGAAACAAACAAAAACAAAATAGAAAAGAAGAGTTGAAGTCAAACAGAAGAACAGAAATCTGCCTTCAGGTTAAAGCTAATCAATTCAGTGCATGTCTATATCACATATTAATAATTATTTTGGCCAACACTGATTGTGCTGGAGGGGAAAAGGGTTCACAAGTCCCATCCTATGGTGGTTTGAATGAAACTGCCCTTATAGGCCTATAGGGAGTGGCATTATTCAGAGGTGTGGCCTTGTTGGAGGAAGTGTGTCACTGAGGGTGGGCTTTGAGGTTTCAGAAGTTCAAGCCAGGGCTAGTGGCTCACTCTCTCTTCCTGCTGTCTGCTGATCCAGACGTAGAACTTTCAGCTACCTCTCCAGCACCATGTCTGGCTGCATGCCACCATCCTTCCCACCATGATGATAACAGACTAAGCCTCTGAACTGTAAGTCAGCCCGTTAAATGTTTTGCTTTGTAAGAGTTGTCATGGTCATGGTGTCTCTTCATAGCAATTGAAATCCTAACTAAGAGACACCTCTAACTGAGGAGTTGTGGACAGCTGAATGTTTCTGGAGTGGGGAGAATAAGTTTTTCAGAGTGAGACTCCTGATAGGACAACCATGCTCCAGTAATGCTTCCACAATTAGGAATGCATAGGCACAATGGGTGTATTTCTATTGCTGTGATATAAAGCACTCTTAACCAAGGCAACATACAGAAAAGAGTCCATGATGGTAGAGCACAGAAATGACAGCAGGAGTCGGAAGCTCGGGGCTCACAGGAAGCAGAGAAAGCAAACTTCAAATGGTGCAAGTCTTTAAACGCTGAAAGCTCATCATCAATGATGGACCTTTTAAAACAAGGCTTGCACTTCCTAAACCTCCTCAAATGGAGCTAACTGGGGACCATGGATTCAAATGACTAAGATAATGAGGAACATTTCTTTCAAACTACCACAATGAGTATTAAAAAAAAAAAAAGAGGACATGAAATCAGGGGTGGATCTGAGAGGGGCCGGAGGAGGAGAGAGGTGAGTATCATTAAACTACACTGTATGAAATTCTCAAAGAAATAATACAAATATTGTATTAAAAGATCCATTGTGCTTCCAGACATCCGTGATTACTGTTTTATGTTTAATTGTAACAATATCTTAAGTGGTCCAGGTTATAACTGGTCCATGTACCCACGAGGAAACCAGGTACACAGAGGCTTGTTTTGTTTCTAAGATCATAAACAGTAAGGTAGAAATTTGAAGTCAGTTTGGACACCAGAGCTTGTGTTTAACTTATCAGAAAAGATTTAAGAGAGCTGCAACTTAACATTGATTTTCAGAGGACTTAATATGGAAAACCTCAAAATTTCTTTTTTTTTCAGTGTATATTAATTGTATAAAATAATGAGTTAGAAATTATTTCTTGTTTTGTGTGTTTGTTTTTTGAGGCACAGTCTCATGTAAATAAGGTTAGCCCCAAACCAGAACTCACTAAGCATATCAGGATGCCCTTGAAACTCTGATCCTCCTGATTTAAATCTCATTTAAAGCATTGTCATGATTGGCTTAGAAATACTGGTTTAAACTTTCTGTGCTTATCTGAGAATGCCTCTATATTCTTTTCCCTAATCATTTCCATGACTAATACCTAACTAGCCTATTGTTATTGAGACTTTAGAGACTTAAAGTCATGACAACATAGTGACATTAATGAAAACAATAATGTAAGAATATCAGAATTCATTCCTCTATCAAATGGTGAACTGTCAAAAAAAAAAAAAGCCAGAACCACTTTTTTCAGAACTTTGTAAATTTAATCAAAGGCTCATCACACTACAGAATAATTTATTTATTGAGAAAATCTAACTCAATCTCTGTAATAGAAGTAATGAAAAGTGTGTTGTTTTAACTTGCTCTGGATCATTCCTCATTCTCCAGCTCAGTGGTAATGAACAGCCCATGGGAGTACAAACTGGTGTACTATGAAAACCAGTGGGGGAGATCCCTCAAAAAAGCTAGAGACAGAGCTACTGTATACACAATATCACTCCTGGGCTTAATGTCAAAGAACTCTTTATCATATTACAGAGATACTTGTTATTCCCTGATTACTGCTGCTCTTTTCACAATAGCCAGGAAATACAACAGCCTAGATGTGCATCAATGGATGACTAGATAATGAAAATGTGCTTCAAATATGCAAAAGGCTATTATTTAGCTTTAAAGAAAAGTGAAATTTGCATATAAGTGGATATAGATACAAATAATCATTCTAAGTGAGGTAACCTAGACCCAGAAAGACACCACAATGTTCTCTATTGTTGTGTATGTTAGCTTGAATCATTGGATATGTGTGTCTAAATAGGAGCACCCACAAAGGGTAAGAAATTAGTCAAGGGCCATGAGGATAAAGGGATTTCAAAGGAACAGAGATAGAATTTATAAGAAAATATCCTACTTGTTCCTTGTATCATCAAATTCCACTACCTGCAGGAAGTAAGCCAAAGAGTACTCAAATAAATTTGACAAATGGATGTGTTTCATTTTACAGAATTTGGAAAATTAAAATATGTACATCATACCATAGACACATATTGAAGATTTCAATGGGTAACTGCTTTGAGTTCTGAAAAGGCTGATTCTGTAATCACACATTTGTTAGAAGTCACGGCCATCATGGGAATACCTGTACAAATTAAGACTGACAATGCTCTAGCATATGTCTCTAGTAAAATGAAACATAAATCATATTACAGGTATACCACACAATCCTACAAGGTAAGCAGTTATAGAAAGATCTAATTGAACTCTAAAAGATATGCTTAATAAACAGAAAAGTGTAATAAAGACCCACAGAGATATATTGCCTAATGTTTTATTAACTTTAAATTTTCTAAATGCTAATGAGAAAGAAACAACAGCTGTGGAGAGACACTGGCTAATAGAAAAAAACTACCGAATTAAATCAGTGTGTATACTTTAAAGATGTGTTGACCTCAGAATGGAAACCAGGGTATGTGTTACATTAGGGAAGAGGTTTTGCTTTTGTTTCTACAGGAGAAGAAAAGCTGTGGATACCATCAAGATTGATAAAGATTGGATTGGAATAAGAGACTTCTTGATAGAAGAGGTGATAGTTCATCAACCAGCATGACCATTCAGTCTAAACTAACAAAACTAACAAATTCTTTTCATTTAATCAGATATAACTTGCCAAAAGGGAAACTCCCCAAAGTTAAGGTGGGGGGCAGGGTTTTGTTTTTGTCTTTCCAGGAGAATAAAGGCAACCAGCTAAGGAATCTGAAGACCACTGGACAAATGAAACATCTGAAGAAAAAGGATGAATCATCCAGAGAAAATATACCAAGAAAGGAAGAAATAAATTGGCCTATTGGTATATCACATTTCCCACAGGATAAAATTTCATAAATCTTCCTAAATGCTTGATTCTGCTATTCTCTACAGACATATAATGCAAATGGTCTTTTTATAGTCCCAGCTCAATTAAAAATTTAAGCTGGCTTTGGAGTTGGAGCATGGTTCTCTCCTCCTCTAAACCCAAGCATGCTTGTTAAAGTAAAATCTAAAATCTCTGTCTAATGTCAGAAAAGCCACCTGATATGGGACAGAGAAAAACCAAAATTAAGGGACTATTCTATTGCTACTAATCTCATTAATCCTTGGGTTTTATTTTGACTTTTTAAAACTTTCCTTATGGTATGAATATTATATCAAAATTTGTAAGATTAATGTATATTAAACTTTTTATTGTGATATTGTCATATAGAGTACTAATTCTAAAAAAGGGCTTAATCTAGGTCCCGGTACATGATTTCGTGTTTGAGTCTCTATCAAGTAACTAGGAATTAAGCTTTTGTACTCTGAATGAACATAACAAATTATAGTCCTTTAATCTCTTTGAGATCTGCTGCATATGACATTTAAAATGTTTAAGTTTTCTGCAGTGAACCATGAAAATGCCTGACAGTGACCTTTGAAGTCTCCAAAAGGATGGTGGGGCCCCACAACGATCCCACCTGGACTATGATAACACCACTAAGCTGACAAACACCACCTAAAGTTCAGCTTTGGACTACAAACTGCTCAGGACAATTTCAAGGTGGCTTGCTGAGATGATCCAGCCTCACAGACTACTCTAGTCAGGACTTGAGACAAACCCTGCACTTTCCCATTACACAGAGACTGGACAACAAATGATATAGCTAGCACTTCCAGGACTTGACAATTAACCCAATATTTTTTCAGGGTCTCCTAAAGATGTCATTGCCCCCAGACAGAAGGAAATAATTTTAAGAACACAATGCCCACATTCCCAAGTGGTTTTTGGTCATTTAGTGGGTTATGGATATTTGTCATAATTTAGGGGAGTTGGTTACAAGTTGTTATTGGTAATAGTTATGAAAAAATCTGAACAAAGCAGATTAGATTCAGGGATCTTGTTTTAAAAAGAAAAAGAAGGAATATGAAAATAGAATAAAAGGGTAGATTATTGAATCTACTTTTAAAAAGCAACTACAAGTTTTAAATATTTTACATTGGCTTGGATTTTTGTATATTGACACAAATTTGAGGTTATTTTTGTTATGCTTTATAAATGTTATAGAAATGATAAGATAAAAAGGTAGAATATTGAATATACTTTTAAACAAAAAAAAAGCAACTACCAGTTTTAAATTTTTTACACTGATGTGGATTTTTTATGTTGAAACGAATTTAAGGTTATTTTGGTTAGAACATACTGTACATACATTTCTACTCTTATTCAAGGAAGTGTACCTATACAGCTCATTTAACAATGCTGATCTTGGGTCCCTTTTCCTTCTACTGGGTTGCCTCATCCAGACTTGATAGGAGGGTTTGTGCCTCATTGTATCGTGCCTTGTTATGCCATCTTCGGTAGATATCCCTGGGAGGCCTGCTCTTTTTTTTTTTTTTTTTTTTTTTTTAAGGGAAGCAGGAGAAGTGGATCTGGGGGAGAGAGGAAGTGGGGGTATGGAAAGAGTGGAGGGAGAGGAAACTATAGTTAGGATATAATGTATGAGAGAAGAATAAAAAAATACAAGAGGAGGAGGAAAAGAAGAAGGAGGAGGAGGAGGAATGACGATGACGATGATAAAGCAGCAGCAGTTTCTGTCCTACCATGGGAAATATTTCCTGAAGAAAACTGCCCAATCTATCACAAAGAGTTGGGTGTTGGATCTTAACAAAGGAGTCCCAGCATACACTTGGTGGTTGTGTCCATAGTTGTCAAGCTGCTACTTCTTTTTTTTTTTAATGAGTTCTTACTATCCTGCCTGGGTCAGCCTTGAACTCCTGGGCTCAAGACATCCTCCTGCCTCAGCATCTGAGGACCTACAAGTATATACTGTGCCTACCTCACTGGGCCAATCTGTGATAGTGACTGAATTCTGACAGGTATCATTCCATTCAGACCACATGATGTGAATATCAATGTCCAATACCAGTTAGCGCTGCTTTTCTCATCACCGGGAAGCAGACTCCCTTTCTGCAAAGATGGACACAAACTAGAGATAACAAGTCAGTGTCTCCTGCACGAGTCTTCCCTAACCCACCAGCCATGCTCCTCTGCCTGAAAAGCAGACCCTGTGGTTCCTTTCCCCAAGTTAGGAGTCAGCAAGCTGTGCTGGAGAGAGGGGACTGCCACAAAGCATCTACAGAACAGTTCATCCAGCTCTAGCACATCCCAACCCTTCCTCCAATGGGAACCAACTGTGAATCTGGGTTTCTGACCTGCCAGACAGGTTACAGTCACCCAAAATCAGATTCAGAGCAGAAATTTCCTCTTGAGTTTATAATGCCCTCCTGGCCACTGAATGTCACACAAAGTGGGGTTTTTGTTTTGTTTTGTTTTGTTTTTGACACAAGAGTCTACTATTAGTCCAAGACTGCTTCCAATTTATGATCCTCCTGCCTCTGTCTCCTGAGTGCAACTGCTGGTATTTAAGCAGATGCCATAATGCCAGACAAACATGAATTTTTGGCTAAAAGCTAATAAAATTCACTTTCTTCTTGAGGAAGAAAAGTATTATACAGAACCAGGCTAGAACAACAGATTTTATGAATATTTTCAACCATATAGCTTAATGCAGATGGCATCTTATCCCATGCTGCAAAGGTGCCTCTTACCCACAGAGAATCCATGATTTCAGAGGCATATACTTCCTGAAAAATAATGTTCTGGATGATGGGGAGAGAAGTCACAGGGTGAATTCTCAGCTTTACATTTCTGAGGAAGCACCTACACCTTTTGCTCCCTGGAGGACTTGTTATTAGTCCTTGTTCTTTGGGAACTGTGCATGGGAGAGGGAATCACAAGTGGGTTTCCAAAAGCATCACACATCAGAGCCACAGCCCTAGGGCCCCATGATGATACCTAGTGAGTGTTACTGGAGTGGTGGTACTTGTAGTGTCTGTGCTGAAGGTCAGGACTAGGAAAGCAGATCATGTCCTGTAATTTACACAGGTCTCCTGGTCTCCTGGGCCTTAGTTTCCTCATTGGAAAAGAACCAATGGACCTTAAGACAAGCTATCACAGTTCACACAGGGTTTACTCTCGGTGAATCAATACTCCATTGGGTTTTTAACACACAAATAAGTATTTACATGTGCTTAACTTCTACTTCACTTACAACTTCTGTAAAAACTGCATTCCATGCCATGCTTGAAATGTTCCAAAGCTCAGTTCAGTGAGTAAATTGCACCCAAGGTTCCTAAAATCATTTTAAAAAATTAAAGACATAAGCCAAAAGAAAAAAAATTCTCCAGAACAGTTATCACTTAACAATCATTCTAATATAAATATGATGAAACATAACCTTTCTCAGAAATGGTTTCAATGTTTTCTCAATTCACTAAGAAAATCTCACTGTGGATGATATTGGCTTATGATTTACACTTCATATTTACATATGCAATGCACTAACTACAGTGATCTTACTTTACTAGGAGGGGGTTTCACAACCTCAGTATCCTTGAATTTTGGGTTGGACCTCTCTGTTATGTAGGTTTGTCCTATACTTGGAGGATGTTTAGAACAGCTGTGGGGTCTGCACACTAGATGCCTGTTGCTAACCCACAGTTGACGAATGTCACCTGGGTACACAGCCACACTGACTAAAAATCAGTGCTGTGTTGTGATTCAAGTCTCACTCATTTTTACCATCGATTGAAAGAATGTGGCCTGGTGAGATGGCTCAGTGGGTAAAGATGATCATCACCAAGCCTGAGTTCAAGCCCCAGAACTCACATGGTGGAAGGATAGAACTCAAGTTCTGTGATCTTAAAGCATGAGAATGTGCACACATCCACATGGGTGTACACACAGACAAACAGACAGACAGACAGACAGACAGACAGACACACACACACACACACACACACACACACACACAGGCACACACATGAAAAATAACTTGCTTTGTAATTGTAGTTACTTTCTATTAGCTATAAAGTTTATTTCATTTGTATATGTATAGTGGATTTCATCATGACAGTTTACATTATATATGTGTGTGTGTGTATATGTATACATGCATGTGTTGTAGCTTACTTATCCTTCCTGCTGCTCTCCATTGTCCCTTCCTTTTGTCCCTTTCCTCCCCACAGTCTCACTTTTCCTTTCATGCTACACACACACACACACACACACACACACACCACACACACACACACATCTAGATTTCAAATGATAGAAAAAATGGCATTTTGTCTTTCTTTCTCCCACTGTCCTCTCTTGTTTACATCTTTCTAGACTTCTTTCTTGCCCTCCATAGTCTACCTTCTACTTTTATGCCACACATATGTGTATTTACATGTAAGTCTAAGGGTTGTGAATCTAGCTCATTATTAGAATGCTTGCTTAGCAAGTACAAGGCCTTGGGTTCGGTCCCCAGCACTGGAAAAAAAAAAGGCATAAGCCTAGCTTCTACAGATGAGAGAAAACATGCAATATTCGTTGTTCTAAGTCTGGCTTATTTCCTACTAGCAAAATTTTAATCACGTAACAGAATAAGTAGCATGGGGTTATAAAATTCCAAATGTAAATGAGTTGTATTTGTAACTTACATATACTTCAAAAAAGGTAATGATTCAAATGTCCCTCTTTCAATATAGCGTATTTTATTGCAGGATAAATCCCTAGGAAAAGGGAAATATTGCTTTGATTAGCTATTAGATATCTAATTAGTATGAATAAACAATAGAATTTAGAATTGATAATATTATTGTTTTTGTCTAGACTCTAAACCATTGGATTTATACTTGAACTTTCTAGAGCCCCTACCCCGATCCACATCTATTCCGAATGTCTCAATCTTCATGATCTTCATCTATACAAAGACAGCTACAGATGCTGGTGAATTTTGGAGGCAGTCTTTCCTGAGAGAAGAGTAATTATTAAATGACTTTTGTTTTGAACATAATGTAGAATGCACACCTCTCACCTCAGCCCCGAGTACTGAATGTACAGGTGCAAATCTGGCCCCTGGGAGCTGCAGAAGGTAGAAATCAGCCTTACTAGAGTTGGTAACTGGGGTAGGGGCACTGTCATAATCAAGTTCTAACGAGCTCTCCAGGTGGTGCTATGAGGATTCTTTTTATAGTGTCATGGTACCACAATGGCTCCTCAGCTTGGCATTCAAATCTAAAGAAGGCCCAGTTCCGTCCTTCTTTCCCTTATACTCTGCAGGTGCTCATGGCACCCTCAAACTCTTGGATGTGTTTGGCGTTTTCTTCACTCTTGTTATTAGTATTTCGCACATTCTCCCCAAAGGGCCTATCGGATGATTCCCAGTAATTCTTCAAGGTTTTATCCAAATACAATTAGTGTAGGAACAGCTTCCCTGAACTAAATCCAAGTCTTTTCTCCTCTTCTGTACTCTAGACAAAATTTATACCTCAGTGACCTAAAAAATGTATGCATGAATGTGTACATGTGTGGAGGCCAGAAGACAGTTTCAGAAATCAGCTCCTATCTTTCACTTTGTTGAAGCAAGACTCTCTTGTTTCTGCCACACTGCTTACTGGAGGCTAGCTGGCTGAAAACACTTCCAGCTCCTGTCTCTCCCCATTTCTTCACAGTAGTGCTGGGATGAAAGATTCACAGTGTTACATCTGTCTTTTTTCTAATGTGGGTTTTGAGGACCAAATACGGGCTTTCCTGGCTAGTGCTTTTACCCACTGAGCCCTATCACCAGGCCTCATTACTTTTAAAAAATTTGTGTGTGTGTGTGTGTGTGTGTGTCCTCTGCAAAGCAGCAAGTGCTCTTAACTGATGAGCCATTTCTCCAGCCCCCTCATACTTTTGAAATTATTTTCACAACCCTTCTTCTAATCATAAATTCCTTGAAAGTGTGAAGTCTAACTCATCTACATTGCCCACCAAGTTTGAGACTGACACAAATATTTGAGCAAACTCAAATATTTATAAAATAAACACATAGTTGATGAATTTAAGAAAAGTGGCTTATTTGGAAAAAATTCAGTTTGTGACTTTATGGCTGAACCCTCTCTGCATCTCAGCAGCATTAAGATTCATGCTCCTGTGTTTGTTTCTCTCGAAGAGCATGAGTTTGAGAGGAAAGGAACCCTGTCTTACTCATCTCTGTGCCTCCAATAATAGACACAGTATTGGGCGAGTTCTGTTTGAGCACATTTTTTTTAAATTGAGGGACATTTAAATAAATGAATGACAATAAATTATGTTATCATGAACCAACTGTTTACAAACTAAAATAAATAAGAGGACTACTCTACTCAGGTATTTTATTGTTTCCCTCCAAACATTTTTGTACAGTTTGGGAGTTCAGATGCAAAGGGTCCCCAAAAATACCAATACAAAAGTAGAGCCAGTGCAATCATGGCCATTCTCTAAGTGTCAATAGAAGGAAAATGTTTCTGGTTTGGTTTAGGATGAATCTCACTTTGTAGTCCTGGCTGGCCTCAAATTTAGAGAGATCCACCTGCCTCTGCTTCCAGAATGCTGGGATTAAAGGCATGTGCCACCACACCCAGCAGATGGAAGATTTTTAAAACCATGTAAAGATCTGTATATGCACTTCCCTAATGATCTCTAATAGAAAGTATACCCCATGCATTTTTAAAAAGTGTTGTTTTTATTTAGCTCAATAAGGATTAAGGATGTACACCACTCTGCACCCTATGGGTAAAGGTTAGAAAGCAAACTTTCCCACTGAACAACATAGTGCATACTTATCTCTAAACAAACAGAATTACTATTGCAAATACTCACTCCTTGACAACAATGTTGTTAAGATTTTTACTTTTTTATAGGGTATCTAGACACTATAGCCATGGCTAGCCTAGAACTCACTATGTAGACCAGACTGGCCTCAAACTCAAGAGATCCACCTGCCTCTACCTCTCTAGGACTGTGGTTCAAGGCGTGTGCCACTAGTCACATCTTTTATTGTCTATTTTCACATAGGCATAAAAACTATTACATTAAAAACTATAATACCAGTCTGTTCTCCTAATGACTTAATCATGTTAATAATATTATTTATACAATCTAGCATTTAGCTACTTATTTAGTATTTCAGTGTCAGTTTAATTCAGATTAAATTATTATAAGAAACTAGGTATGATGGCATGTGCATGCAATCCTAGCACTTAGGGGCCTGAAGTAGGAGGACTGTTGCAAATTCAAGATCAGCTTGGGATACATTTGAGTCCTAGTCTCAAAAACAAACAAAAGAGCATAGGGTATTATTGTGGTTAGAAGAGTACTTGTCCAGCATGTACAAAATCTTGAATTTTATTCCCAGAATTACATAAATTGTGTGATAATGAATGCCTGTAATCCTAGCACTTAGAAAATAGAGGCAAGAGATTCAAGAATTCAAAGCCAGCTTTGGCTATCTAGAGAGTTTAAGGCAAGCTTGAACTACATGAGACCGTATCTCAAAGAGGGGAAAACGTTCTGGGTTAATGACCTTCAAATTAATATAGTTGTCTATTTTCTTCTATTTGATACAATTATTCAAAGTTAACATTAATTTCTCACATCCTACTACACTGTCTTAAATCTTTTTTGCAAAGTCTAAATTAGTGAATTAGACTTGTTAGTTAGTTGGATTCGCAAGCCCACACACAGACCCAGAAACAATGGAGCCAGCTACCATAAACCAAAAACCTCTGAACTGAAGGGCCAAAATGAATCCTGCCTCCTCCAAGTTGTTCTCATCAGGCACCCTGTCACATCAACAAAAAAAGGCACTGGCACAAGTCCTCTAAAGTGTCAAACCACTCCTATAGTAAATGAGGACATGGATCAGACTTGATCGAGGTATGACAGACTAGATCCAAATACAAGCATATGCCTTAGAAAACAGGGGTCGTGTGAGGTCCAGTAATTGCTCAGTAATTACTGTTAGTTAATTAGTTAGTTAGACCTTACTAACATTTCCCCCTGCAAATGGAGTTCTTCTACCTGAAGCTTGTCTATATGATTTAAGAAATTTAAAATGGATAGAAGGCATTTTCATGTTAGAGATGGGCTGAGCCCTCCCCCCAACCCCTGACTGGCATAACTGCAGATTCTGTTTTATTATGTTTTTGCCTTTAGAGCCAGGGTTTGGCCAAGCAGCCCTGGAACTGGTGTGAAACCCACTATGTAGACCATGAAGATCTCCAACTTTGAGCAATCCTCCTATTTTCCACCTCTTCAGTCCTGGGATTATAAGCAAACACTGTCAAACCCAGTCAATAATTGCACAATTTTATTGCTTGAAGAGATGTTAGTATCTATCTAGTTCAAATCCCTTGTTAAGCAATAGATAACTCATAACTTACAAATAGATATGCTTAACTAACTTACAAAACCTGGAGGGACAGCAGGCCTTCAAATGTATCCTTATGTAATTCAGTCAGGTGATTTTCACTGATAATTCTGGAAGATTAAAAGGTTATCTGGATCAAAAATCATCAAACAGATGGACAACATCCAGTGGTGAAATGGAATGGAGAAATACATGCTGTCATATGCTATTGCTGAGAACATAAATTGTCATCAGCTCTTTTGGAAGCAATTAAAACTTCATCTATACAATGGTCTCCACCCTAGAGATGCCATTTCTAAGTATCTAGCCTATAGAAACACTTGTCTGAGGTATATAGTATGTTTAACTCAGCCCTATATGAAATATTATGCAGAACTGGAAATTAATAGTATGAGCTTCTACATAGGGGAAAGGAAACTTTAAAATATCATAAAGTGAAACCATCAAGTCACCAAATGTTACCAATCATGTAAAAGTGGTAAGGAAAGCAGCAATACTCCTATTTTTCTATATGAAAATATGTCTGGAAGGATATATACCAAATTTTGAGTAGCAGTTACCTCAGATCCGAGGGATTATAGCATAAGGAAGGTTTCACTATCCCTCTAAATTTATAACCATTAAAAATTTCATCATAGCTGGATGGTGGTGATGCACACCTCTAGTCCCAGCACTCAAGAGGCAGAGCCAGGCGGGTCTCTGTGAGTTTGAGGCCAGCCTGGTCTACAGAGTGAGATTCAGGACGGGCACTAAAACTACAGGGATAAATACTGTGTTGAAAAAACAAAACAAAACATCATCATGGGCCAGGCAGTGCTGGCTCACGTCTTTATTCCCAGCACTCAGGAGGCAGAGGCAGGCAGATCTCTGTGAGTTCAAGGCCAGCCTGGTTTACAGTGCAAGTTCCAGGACAGACTCCAAGGCTAGACAGAGAAACCCTGTCTCGAAAAACCACACACAAAAAAAAGTGTCTGATTTCTGTACTGGAAAACAAATTTGTCTTTCAATGAAAACCCACAACATTTAAATTTAAAAATTTTGCATGTACTGGTTCCAACTCAGGGCCTCATGCACTAGGCAAGTGTACTAACACTGAACCACATCCTAGTCCTCATGCAACTTACCAGAGAAACTCAAGCAGTACCCATTTATTTGTTTATTTAGAACCATTAAGTTTCCCTATCTCTAACCTAAACACTCCATGTCCAGCCATCTATTCTATAGAAATTCAGTGGGATGAACAGAGGAAATGTCTTTCCTCAGACATATTGACTTCAAAATCTAGACAAAAAAGGGCAATAATTTCTATAACACTTGGAGAGAATATATACTACTCACAGTTTCTCAGCCCAACGGTATGCTTTCCAAACATTTTTGTCAATGTAAGAAATATCATTTCCTTGGAAATTCCTGTGAAGAAACCAAAATGCAAGCGGGGTTGATTTTGGTTGGTAGGGCATAGGAGAAGCGCGGCAAGCTACACAAAATGAGTTTTCTGGATTATCCTAGAAACACCGTGTCTTTTGCTTCCGTGTTGCGTGTGTGCATGTGGAGGCCCACGTCTGATGTCAGGAGCCATCTTCAGTCACTCTCCTGCTTTACTGAGGCAGAATCTTTCAATCCAACCTAGAGCTCACTGGTATGGTAGACTTGCTAGCCAGACTGCTCTGGAGAATGTGCTTCTAACTTTCCAGGCTGTAATTACAAATAGACTGTCACACCAACCTGTCATTGACATGGATTCTGAGGATCTGAACTCCAGTAACTGCTGAGTAACCTCCCCAGGTGCCCCAATCCTTCACCCTTTTTTACAGAGCTAGTAATGGAATCCAGGGCATTCTGTGTGCCAGTCAAGTATTCTACCACTGAGCTGTATTCCTAGCCCTCTGGTCATTCTGAGACAGGATCTCACTAAGCATAGTTCAGGCTGGCCTTGAATTTGTGACTCTCATTCTTTAGTTCCCAAGTACTAGGATTATAGGTATATACTACCACACCAGGCTTCCAAGACTTTTTAAAATGAAAATATATCCTTGAGTGGCACATGCTTAAAAGAATCTAATGTTAAACACCTAATTTATGTTTAATTTCAACTCTGTGTCTCACTTTGAGCATTTACCTTTAGCTCTGCTCTTATTTCTCAGTGAAGACCTTCTTGCTCAGTTTAAACATACTTTTTCTTGTGGTAGGGAAGAAAAAAATCCACTCATTTGATAGTGGACATCTCCGTTCAATCCCAAGCTGTCTAATTTTATGTTCACCAAGAAGGAAAATGCCTAAAACTGAACTCACCACCCTCAAGCTGCTCTCGTTCCTGACTGCTGAGTCCATCTGTCATTCTCATCTTCATCCAGGACAGAAATTGTGGGCACACTCCAATCCTGTAGCCCTGGCTGGCGTGTAAGTCACTCTGGAGACCAGGGTGGTCTCGAACTCACAGAGATCTACCTACCTCTGCCTCCTGAGTTCTGGGATTAAAGGTATGCACCACCACATCCAGTATCAGTCCTCAACTCTTTGGGCAGTCACTAAATCCTATCTTCTCTTACTCTGTGGGGATTCAGGCTTTTCTTCCCACTCCCATAACAGCCGCAGTGGCTCAGCTCTTGTTCGCTTTATTCCTAGACTTTGTACATTTTTCTATATGGTCATCAAGAATTAAGCTTCCCCTCTGGCTTACCCTACACAAGGAGGCTAAAATGATCCTGTTTCTGGGCGTTAAGACACATGCCTATATTTATCATTTGAGAAGCTGAGGCAGGATGATCATGAACTCAAGGCCAGCCTGTATTACAGAGCAAGATTCTGCCTTTCTGTTTTAATACTTTTGCAATATTTCTTAGAAATTTATAATGGTTCTCTGTATTGCACTGTTGACTTTCAAACCACTTGAGTTGATATTCAAAGTATTTCATGACATCTCATTGCTTTTAACTCAATCTCTGCTGGTAGACTAGTCTATTAGATCCTTATTCTTGCAGCTATGGCTTTGTCTATTCTGGAATACCTATTTTTACTTTATTTTAAAATCAGGCACTCTTTGAGCCAAAGGTAAAGTTTTAATGTAATATTCTCCCTTTCCCCATCTATTATTTCATGTTCCAGAGAAAATGCCACACATCTATGTCTCCCATACTTCTTAGCCCTGAGTAGTGCACACAATACATGCAAAATATAGAAAACTAAGAACAAGAATGAGCTCTGGACATAAATGAGATTGCAAAGTTAACATTCATGTATGCTAAGAACTAAGATAAGTATTCCATGTAGTCAACTAAACCTCACAACAGTTCTGTGAAACAGCAACCATCATATATTCTTCATTTTACAGGTGAGGAAGTTAATTCACAGTGAGATACTTTACCCAGGGCTGCAGAGCTTAGGTCAAAGCCCAGGAATGCAGCTCCAGCATCTACTCTAATCACTCAGGTGCACCCTCACTAATTAGATAAATTATTAACAGGGCAGCATGAAACAGAAGAACAAAGGTTAAGCAATGATATAATGGGGCTAAAAAAGAATGAATACAGAAAAAGAAGAATGGCTATCATAAATAAAAGACTGGAGAAGGGACACTGGAAGAAGAAGGGAACTGAGGACAAGGAAAAGCTGACAAGAGAAGGTAAGAGCAGAAAGTCAATCAATGGGAATTTGGGTGACGAGGAAGGTCCAGGAAAGCTTTGAGGAAAAGGGTGCTATGTCAGGCATGCTGTAAAACAGAAATAAAGGAGAGTCTTACAAGATAGCAAAAGTGTCATTGTAGGTGTCGGGCTTTGGCACAGGCACTTGCTGGAGTCTCCGCACTGGGCTGAGATGAATGCACAACAGTGTCTCATTTTCACACAAGCAGAAGTCACAGATGTCGGTGTACAAGTAAGCATTTTGTTCCACAGCTAAATCTTGTTCTGTATTAGAACTTTCAGGATATGGAGTTGAGGTAAGTTTCACTTTGAAAAATGTAACTGTGACTTCAGTTGGGCTTGGATACTGTTTCTCAGCCAGATCTGGAGGTAGAGGTGTCATTTCAGAGAACTTTGGAGTAGCAACTGTAGTTGTTGGGGCTTTAAGATGTGCAACCTCTGGAGAAACAGCAGCAGTTGTTGAGACTCCAACATCTGCAGCCTCTTTAGAAGCAGCTGTAGTTGTTGGGATTTCAGAATGTACAGACTCTTGAAAAATAGCTATAATTGTTGCAACTCTACAATCTGCATCCTCTGCAGAGGCAGCTGTAGTTGCTGGGACTTCAGAATGTGCAGACTCTGGAGAAATAGCTGCAGTGTTTAAGACTCTACAATCCAAAGCCTCTCTAGAAGCAGCTGTAGTCTTTGGGACTTCAGGATGGGCAGACTCTGTATACAGTGTAGTCTCTGCAACTTCAGAATGTGAAGATTCTGGATAAAATATAGTGTCTGGGACTTCAGAATGTGCAGACTCTAGGTAAGATGTAGTCCCTGGCACTTCAGGATGCGCAGACTCTAGGACTTCAGAATGCTCAGGCTCTATAGCTGATGAATATGAATGTTGAGTTTCAACATGAACTGAAGTTAGAGGTGTTATCTCATAATGCTCTAGAGGTTGAGCTACAGTCTCCATAGGTATCTCTGAAGTCTGAGCTGGGGTGTCCTTCATACGAGCAGAACGTTTAACCATTGTATTAGGTTGTCGAGTAACCGAAAATTCTGAGTGTAAATAGTGAGTTATGTTTGGAGGTTGAACCTGAATCTTGTCGGGAGGTGGGAGTGTCTCTTCAGGGTTATTTGGAAGGGGAACAGTAATATTCTCTGGGGCTTCAGAAAGTTCACCCTCTATCTTAGATACTTCAGTAGTAGCATGCTCTACATCAAGATGTTTAACTGAGACCTTGTGTGACACTGTATGCTGAATTTGATGACCTGGCATTGCATCTTGACTATCCTCAAACGCTGGCGCTTTGGTACCAAGCCCCTCATGTAGCTGGGCAGGCTGGGAGAAGGTCTTTTGCACAGTTTCAAAGAGTCCTTCCCTAGGAGTAGGTTGATGAGTTATGGCAGCTTCCAAATCTAAAGGATGAACCGGGATTTCAGTTGTGCTTGGATGCTGAATGTGATCCTGTTCTAGAAGTGTCACTTGAGAATTCATTGGAAGACGACCTTTAGTCTCACTGAGAATTGCAGGATGATGAGCCTCTCTAGTAGGCTCTGAAGTTACAGTGGGTTCCATGTCTAAGGGCTGATATGGTGGTGTTAGATACTCAGCTTGATCCTGAATTAGAGCTGGAACCTCACCCTCCGCATATCCTACAGTTTGAGCTACAACCTTTTTAGGTGGTTTTCTAACCTTAGCTGTGGTCCTCTGCAAATTTTCAGTAATGTTTCCTACCGTAGATGGGATATAATCATCAGGTTCAACTATGACTTCAGTTAGAGTTCTTGTAATAGGAGCGACAAGTTCTGGGTTTAGCAGCACATTGTGACCTGAACGATGAACTGTAGTCTGCTCCAGAGCTAGAGGATAGTGAGTCCCTGCAGGAGGCTGAGCAGATATGGTGAGTTCCTGGTCCAGAGACTGAAATGAGATCCTGGCTGGTGTTGGATACTCAGCTTGACCCTGAATTGGTATCGGAACTGTCACCTCTTGGAATTCTGGGGCTAGAGCTATACCCTCTTTAGGTGGTTTGGCAATCTGAGTTGTGACCTCTTCCATACTTTGAGAAAGTTCTCCCTCATTAGTAGGTTGATGAGTTACAGTACGTTTTAGATCCAAAGGCTGAACAGTGACTTTAGGTGGATTTGAATGCTTATCGTGAAAAGGCTCTGAATATATCACCAGAGGGTACTCTGGAGGAGGAACTGTAGTCTCCTCTAGAGGTGTAGGATGGTGAGACTCTCTAGTAGGATCTGAAGTTATGAGTTCCAGGTCTGTGGGCTGAAATGTGACACTGGGTGAAACTGGATACTCAGCTACAACAACCTGTCTAGGAGGTTTTGTAATCTGAGTTGTGCTTTCTTGCATGCTTTGAGAAAGTTCTCCCTCACCAGTAAGCTGTGGAGCTATGGTAAGTTCCAGATCCAAAGGTTTAACTGTTACTCCAGCTGGGTTTGGATGCTGAGTATGAACTTGTTCTGGATGTATCACCAGAGGGTGCTTTGGAGGATGAACTCTTACAGTCTTCTTGGAGGTTATAAAGTAGTGAGTCTCTCTAGCAGGTTCTGAACTTAAGGTGAATTCAAGTTCCAAGGGCTGAAATGAGACACTGGGTAAGGTTGGATACTCAACTTGATTCTGAGTTGGTGTTGGAGCTGTTACCTCCTGATACACTAGGGCTGGACCTACAGCCTCTTTAGGTGGTTCTGTAAGATAAGTTGCAGTCTCTTGCATACTTTCATAAAGTTTTCCCTCAGCAGTAAGCTGTGGAGCTATGGTAAGTTCCAGATCTAAAGGTTTAACTGTGAATTCAGCTGGGTTTGGATGCTGAGTATGAACATGTTCTGGATGTATCACCAGAGGGAGCTTTGGAGTTGTAGGATGGTGAGCCTCTCTTGTAGGCTTTGAACTTATGGTGAGTCCCAGATCCAAAGGCTGAAATGATACAAGAGATGTTGAACCCTCAACTTGAGCCTGACCTGGTGCTGGAACTGTCACCTCCTGATATATTGGCACTGGAGCTACTACTTCTTTAGGTGGTTTTGTAAATTGAGTTGTGCTCTTCTGCACAGTTTGAGAAAGTTTTTCCTCAGCAGTAGTTTGACGGGATACAGTAAGTTCCAGATCCAGAGGTTGAACTGTGACTTGAGTTGGCTTCTGGTGCTGAACATGAACATGTTCTGGATGTTTCACAAGAGGGCGCTTTGGAAGATGAACTATTATTGTCTGCTTTGGAGTTGTAGGATGGTGAGGCTCTCTGGTAGGCTCTGAAGTTATGGTGAGTTCCAGGTCTAAGGGCTGAAATGAGACAATAGGTGCTGTTGGATACTCAGCTTGGTCCTTCCTTGGTGCTGGAACTGTCACCTCCTGATACACTGAGGCTGGAGCTACAATCTCTCTAGGTGGTTCTGTAAGATAAAGTGTGCTCTCTGGCATAGTTTGAGAAAGTTCTCCCTCAAAAGTAGGTCGTGGAGTTTTGGTAAGTTCTATATACAAAGGTTGAACTGTGGTTTCAGCTGTGTTTGGGTGCCGAGTGTAAACTTGTTCTGGATGTATCACCAGAGGGTGCTTTGGAGGATGAACTATTACTGTCTGCTTTGGAACTGTAGGATGGTGAGCCTCTCTAGTAGGCTCAGAAGTTATGGTGAGTTCCAGGTCCAAGGGCTGAAATGTGGCATTGGGTGAAACCAGATACTCAGCTTGAGCCTGACCTGGTGTTGGAACTGTGACCTCTTGATACACTGGGGCTGGAGCTACAGCCTCTCCGGGTGGCTCTGTAATCTGAGTCATGTGCTCTTGCATACTAAGAGAAAATTCTCCCTCAACAATAGGTTGAGGAGTTATGGCAAGTTCCAGATCCAAAGTTTGAATTGTAGCTTTAGTTGGGTTTGGATGTTGAATGTGAACATGTTCTGGATGTATCACCATAGAGTGCCCTGTTTTGGGGGGTGTTGTAGGATGGTGAGGCTTTCTGGTAGGCTCTGAACTTACGGTGAGTTCTAGGTCTAAGGACTGAAATGAGGCAGTGGGTGATACTAGATACTCAGCTTGATTCTCAGTTGGTGTTGGAATTGTCATCTCATTATATTCTGGACCTTGAGCTACAACCTCTTTATGTGGTCCCATCATCTGATTTGTGGTCTCCTGAATAGTTTGAGAAAGTTTGTCCTTACTAGTAGGTTGTAGATTTATGGCAAGTTCCAGATCCAAAGATTGAACTGTGGTTTTAGTTGGGTGTGAAATTTCCCCTTGAAAATTAGTCTGTGGATTTATAGTTCTCTTCGGTAAATGCTCAGCTTCTGGAATACTTTCTGAAGTTGCAGTAACGTCTAGGTCCAAAGTCCGAAATGACCCATTAGGTGATGACGTAGACTCTACTCGATCCTTATCTGGCCTTGGAACTATCATCTTGTGTGTTGGAATGTGAGTTACAGTATTTTTCAGTGGTTTGGGAGTGTGATTCTCATGGAGGTCTGCGGCCATTTGCTGATGTAAAGAAGGTCTTATTCCCATACTGTGACCTGGAGGCAGTTCTGAGGCTTCCTGCTGAGCTGAAGAAAGGTGCACCTCTTTAGAGTGATATGTTGTCTGAGCTATGGCCTCTTGGAAGGTTGGAGATTCAGTTTCGAAGACATATGGAGGCTTTGAAAGGGCACTAGTCTGGATTTGTGAAAATTTACCTTGTTCAGTGGAATCTATGGGCTCAAGTAGGTCCTCCTGCGGAAATGGAACTGATCCAATCTCCAGAGAGGGCTTTTGAGTTATGCTAAGTGCTGGGTCCACATGTTTAACGGTGGTTTTATATGATTTTGAATGTTCAGTTCTGAACATTGCCTCTAGATCTGCAGGTGAAAAATATGTATCCGTCATTGAAGGCCAAGTTGAGCTAACCTGCTGACTTAGAGAAGGTTCCTCTGGAAGTTCTTCAGGCTGGGTTGGGACCCCTTGACCAACTGAGGAATGCTGATCCTCTGTTGGGGTGGTTGGATACTGAGTTGGGACACTGTGTGATGCTGGAGGATGAACTTGACCATGACCCAGGGATGGAACTGTTAATTCATGGTTAGCTGGAAGTTGAGCTACCTCGTCACTAGGCTGCTCTATAATCTGTTCTGGAGCAGGTTCCTCAGGAAGTTCTTCAGGCTGGGTTGGGACCTCTTGACCAACTAGAGAATTTTGCTCCTCTGTTGGGATGGTTGGATACTGAGTTGGTGCACTGTGTGATGCTGGAGGATGTACTTGACCATGACCCAGGGATGTACCTGTTACCTCATGGTAATCTGGAGGTTGAGCTACCTCTTCATTAGGCTGCTCTATAATCTGTTCTGGAGACTCCTGCTGGTCTGGAAAGGGTTGTCCTTCCTCAGAGATCTGTGATATTCCAGCTGTGTCTTCTTGTTGGCTTAGAGGTTTATGATACAAAATAGGTTCTGAGGACTGAGACAGAATATCCTGTTGATTTAGCATTTCAACCTCTTCAGGAGATGCTGTAGCCTCATGGTACACAGGAGAAGTTCCCATCTCAGCTACGGGTTTTTCTGTTATGGTAATCTCCAGATCTGAAGGTTGACCAGTCACATTTGACAAGCTAGAATGCTGAGCATGATAGTGACCTGGGGGTAAAACTGTCACTTCATGATGCTCTGGAAACTGAGCTGCTTGTTCCTGATCAGTTGCAGAAGGTTTCAACTCTTCAGCATACTCTAAGGCTGGAGCTGGTACCTCCAGCTGGCTTTGAAATTGACTCTCCTCAGGAGGCTCAGAAGCCTGAGCTGGAGGCTTCTCCTCATTCAGAAAGGGTTCCGTCTCATCAGCATACTCCAAAGGATTCACTGGGGATTCCTGCTGGGCAAGAGAAGATTCAGTCTCCTTGGTAGGCTCTGAAGTTATGGTGAGGGCCACATCCACAGGTCTAACTGTAACATGTGGCAAGTGATAATGGTGATCTTCACTCTGATCTGGCTGGACTTGGTGAAATGGTGAAGTTTCACCTACACTCTCAATAGGGGACTCTGCAGTTTGAAGCAGTGCCTCCTGCTCGACTGGAGGGACCTCTGCAGGCTGAACTGAGGCTTCAGGCTGGTTTCCAGAACCTGATCCTACCTCCTCAGGAGACTCAGAAAGTTGAACTGGCTGCTCTAGTTCACTGGGAGAAGGTTCATCCTCCAAAACAGGGCCCAGATGTTGAGACAGATCTTCCTGCTGGGTTGGTAAGGGCCCCAACTCCTCTGCATTCTCTTGAGACTGAATTGGAGATTCCAAATCAATTCCAGAAGATTCAACCTCCTCAGGATACCCAGAAGGTTCAGCTGGCTGCTGCTGCTGGCTGGGGAAAGGTTCAGCTCCGACAAGAGGACCTGGAGTCTGAGTTGGAGTCTCTTCCTCATATGGAGATGACTCAATCTCCTTTCCAGGTTCAGAAGTTATTGTAACTACCACATCTACAGGTTTGACTGTAATCTTGGGCGAAGTATAATGGAGAACTTGATCCTGACTGGGATGTGGAATTGTGGTTAGTGGAGTTTCAACTACACTCTGCATAGAGGATTCTGGAACTGGAACTGTAGCCTCTTGCTCAACTAGACTGATTTCTTCAGGGAGCTTTGTAGATGGAGCCAGAGCTTCTAGCTGGCTACCAGAATTTTCAAGGTCTTCAGGAAGCTCTAAAATCTCATCTGGGGCCTCATGTTGGGTTGATGAAGGTTCCAACAACTCAGAACTCTCTGGAAACTGCCCTAGGGTCCGTGGCTGGCTCAGAGTAGCTTGTGCCTCCGTATCTGCCTCTGAAGTCACTGTCTCAAGATCAACAGGATTCACTGTGACATTTCGCAAGTTTGAGTGCTGAGCTTCATTTCTATTTGGAGGTGAACCATTTATTTCAGGATGCATTGGTCGTTCCTCAGAAGGAAGAGGACGGTGAGCTGGGATTAAAGGCTCATCCTCCTCAGGGGGCTGTGGGAAATAATCTGGAGCATCCTGAAGGAGATTCTCTGGATTTTGAACTTGTGTCTCCAACTGGTCAGGTTCAACCTGTTCTAAGAGCTCTGGCGCTTCATCTGCACTCTCCTGGGATTGCAGAGGAAGGTTGTAAGAATAAGTTTCATTCATATTCAGATCTTCATAATAATCATCCATGATTTTTTGAGGTTTTCCAACAACCACTTTAGCAAGTTTCTTATGCTGAGTTAGATCTTTCTTCAACTCCTTGGGTGAAACAGTGAACTTTGTTGCTTTTGAACTCCGGCTGTCTAGTGGTGGAACAATTATTTCATACAATTGGTGATCTGTAGCCTCAGATAGACTGGGAGTACTTCTGAACTGTGAAGGTACAATGGGAGCCTGAATTTGATCCCCCTTTAGTATTAAAAGGTTCTTTGGCTTCTTCCCAGGTGGTATCAGCTTGTTGGTCAGATCCTGATGTGAAACAGCAAGCTCCTCAGGCTCTGGGTTCGGCTCCCGAGAAGTACTGGGATCCTGGAACGGAAGTAAACTGTCAGTCAACTCCTCAAGTGGGACCAACACTTCTGTGGAAGCAGAGGACCCCAGATCCTCAACGCCCGCTGTGTCTGTCTTGGGTGCTCGAGTATGTGGGGATTTAGGTGGACGATCAGAGGGGTGCCAAGACCAGAGCTTGGTTGGCATCCAGGGCTCTGAAGTCAACTGGACTGGGTCTCCAGTGAACTCTAGAATGGGAACAGCCAGGGCCAACAGCCACAAAAGTTGCCACGTGAAGAGAAGCCTTCGTGCGCCAAACTGCAGTAGAGACATGACATGCAGTAGGGACTCGATCCACAGTGCTGCCCCACACTGGTGGGAAACTGAATGAAAGCCCCCTGAGCTCAGGGAACCTTGGCAACCAGGCCTCCCCCGCCCCGCCCTTTATTTATGACAGCTGACCTTTGTTACAAAACCATTACTAGGCAGGGTCCCAGTTGGATTCTGCTTGCTCTCTTGTCTGTGATCATTCCCCCTTTTGGATTCTCTTTCAACTTTGTTGTAGAAAACTCCAAAAGCCAAATTGAAAAGTTATCTTAGAGTATTTGTACACTGTTTCTTGCTTCTGTAGCTTTTTCCCCTAATGTCCAGAGTAGACTGATCCATGAAATAAACATCAAATGATGTCTGTTGTTAGGACTTTAAAAATAATCTTTAATTATAATAGTCAGACATTTTTATTATTGTTGTATGGTGGCACATGCCTCAACATGCATGCAGAGGTCAAAGGACAGCATATGGAGTGGGTTCTCTCCTTTCACCTTTAAGAGGCTTCCAGGGTTGGAACTCTGGTCACCAGGCTTGCATTGTGAGGTGGCAAGTACCTTTATCCACTAAGTTATCTGCAGGCCATAATTGTAAACTTAATAATACAATAGCATCTTCAAGTTTTACCTCTCACAGACCTTTTTAACTTAGACCTTCTGTAATGTGCTTAACCTGTCTGTTTGTCCTCAATTGTGATGTACATTTTGGAACACTGCTTACTTTAGGACAAAACTACCACCTACAATCCTTTCTCATCTGAAAGCATCTTTCTCTTTAACCTTCTTTACCAAAATGCATTTTATATCTATAGTCTTTTATATCTCTCACTTGATGGTTACACTTTCTTTACAAATTTAAAAACATTTTATGTCATACTACAAACTGATACATATGGGTAAGCAGGATGCTTATAAACTGTAACAGCTTACAGTAATACTTTGAGCTATACAGCTTTGTACCTATGTTCCAAAATTAACCATAAGCCCATCTCAGATAAACAGAGGGTATGGGCCACTCAGAAAGGATATAGCTAACAGACTCAATGAGATTCTGCTGTCTTACACAGATGAGTAAGAATTATTAAGAGACTTCAGGGTTCATGTTATCTGAGAAGAGAATTACTCACTAGTTACATGCACCTTTGCGGGGCTGGGGGGGGGCGGCCCCCCCCCCCCGGGACTGACATCCACAATCCATAACAGTCCCAATGCCCTCTCTGTTCTGTCTCAGTGCTAACCTAGGCGGTTATACTACCCACTGCCTTTCCTTAACCTAGGAACATGGAGTGATACATTCTTTATGAAGAGATTGGCCATTAGACTTTACTCAGATATTAATTTGTCAGGACACAAACATTTTCTGATGTCTGCTGACACCTCAATGTGCACAGAGGTTCATTCCACCCAGACTGAAAGAACTCAGAAAGTTACAACCTCAAGAACATCACACACTCTCTCTCACACACACACACACACACACACACACACACACACACACACACACCACAGTTGTTTAAACCTGCAACCTGTTGAAAACTTAAATGGTCCCTTCAAGAAAACAAAAAGGGCATTTAGTTAAATACAAAGGGAAGCTTCCTGTGCGAACTTACCAGCAGCTGCACCTTACCGGGGCTTCCATCTGCACCACTGCTTTTCTTGTGGGATAATACAGACTCTTGGTATAATATATACTCAATATATGAAATGGCTATAACCTCCCACTATTCTCTTTTTAATTATTCCACCACTGAATTCCTTCTTAGACTTGTTTTTATTTTTCTGTTTACCACATTCTTAATATATAACCTTCTGTATATAATTATCAGTAATTTTGTTTCACAGTCCAAGAAAGCTTATTTCTAAACTCAAAAGTTAAGATAATGAAAATAGCTATCTTAAAATACGTGTCTTAAATAATGACTAGATCTTAATGCCTGACAGCAGCACAAGGGGAGTCTGAGCCATTATCACACAGAATGCTAACTGTCCTAGGTCCAACCAACCAGATGAATTTAAAATGCTTGTAATAATAACTGTTCTATGTTTAAAAAACAAAGTATACCCATAATTCTTAGACCATTATCCTAAGTGAGGAGAGGCAGACACAACACAGGATCTGACTAGCCAGCTCTAGTCTAGGTACAATCTGGTATGACTCATTGTCACCACCTCAATCTATTCCAGAAGTTCCTGGTGCCAGTTTAGGGATCTAAGCCAGGAATGTGGTATGAATCCCACACACTCACAGGTTTCAAATCGGCAGATGGAAGCTGTACTTCCTGCAGACTCTTGCCTCCTGTGGATCAAGGCTTAAATCACACACTGAGCAATGTGTGTGATTTCCACTCCATCACTAACACCCTTGCTTCTGACTTAGACACCCTAGCCCTATAACCATGGAGTCTAGGAAAAAAGAAAACAAAAAAACAAAACAAAAAACCCCTCAGAATCAGTTGGAATACCTTTTCTACATTTGATTTATTCACTGCTTAAGCCATTCCACAAGCAGTCAAAGAAATAAATGTTTGGCCAGGTGGTAGTGGTTCACACCTTTAATCCCAGCACTTGGGAGGCAGAGGCAGGTGGATCTCTGAGTCTTCAAAGTGAGTTCCAGGACAGCCAGGGCCACATAGTGAGACCCTGTCTCAAACAACCAAAAAGGAGAAAAACCCAAAAAACTAATTCACACAGGAGTTTATGGAAATATTTAGATAATGATTTGCCAAGGTAACTGAAGACTCTTAAGATATTCAGATTAGGTAACTACTTTAGCATAAAAGCAAGTCCTTAATCAGGAACTAGAGAAACATGATTTCCTCCTTCCTCCAAAGCTTGTGGGCAGGTAGGTCAGCTCCCCGACTGATTTTACAAGTTCTGTCAAGTATATGCTTAACAAGAACTTGCCACTGAAAAGGGAATTTGAGGAATAAATTAATAATAATGCATCCTTTCCCACACTGAGAACAGAGCTTCTTCCAGCTTATACACAGGCTCTTTGGCAGCGCCAGCAACTCGGGGGTTTCTGTCTTCATGGGACATCAGCACCACTTCTGCAGCACAGCAGAACCAAACAAAAGAACTGAAGCTCATGAAGCTGTTAGGGATTTGAATTAAAGTCCATTCTAGAAGTAAGTGTGTGTGTGTGTGTGTGTGTGTGTGTGTGTGTGTGCGCGCGCGCGCTACTGACATTACTGACACTAAAAGCCAGGGCCTCGCACGTTAGGCAAGCTCTTTACATCCACAGAACACCTAGAGTTTTAATGAAAAGAGTTAAAAAATAAACAATAGCCGGGCGGTGGTGGCGCACGCCTTTAATCCCAGCACTCGGGAGGCAGAGCCAGGCGGATCTCTGTGAGTTCGAGGCCAGCCTGGGCTACCAAGTGAGTCCCAGGAAAGGCGCAAAGCTACACAGAGAAACCCTGTCTCGAAAAAGAAAAAAAAAAAAAAAAAAAAAAAAAAATAATCCCAGCTAACAGTGAGGTATCCTACAGCTTTAAGATCAATTAAGATTTGCGAATGAACTACCAGATATTGGCATTTTTATTACATACTACACAAACAGTGGAGAAATTTATGGACTATCAAAGTGATTAAGGTGATTAACTGTAGATGGTGGGCCAATTTATATATATATATTTACTTTCAACAGTAGTTGTCCTCTCACATAATCCAGTTCAATCCTTTTATCTAAAGTCCAAGATTAGAATGTTGAGAGTATGGTTGGTCAAAGTCTACAAAGTTTTCCTTCATCCTTGTTTGGCCATCAGTGGAAACCAAAGCAGTAATTTGCTAGTTCTTGGTATTGTGAGCCATTACAAGGGCCTGATGTCAAGCTGCCTTATGTCTGGTGCCAAGACAAACCTAGTTATAACAGACTTAAAATATCATAACCTGCCAAAGACTTCATTTTGGATATACTTGAAATGCAATGCTCACTTTACAGAGTGGATGTGAAGAACATTTTAACTATGTATAGAGAACCCCAAATAAATGCTATTTTTTTTTAAGTCACAGTACTTTCTGCATCATTTCCAGGAGGCAGGATTTACTAACTGCCCTCTGTTGGTGACAGTCACGATGAAAGGAAGTCCTGCAGAGAAAGCATAGCATTTCAAGCGAGCAAAGAAATGCTTAAGTCTTCACACCTAGCAGGTCCTACTTCAGAATATGATCCAAAATGCAGATGAAATGAAACTGCCACCAACCCCTCTCCAAATTACTAATCCATCAAAAGGAAGAAATACACCTATTCTATAAATTTTACAAGCAACAAAAACTATGAGAGGCTCATCTGAATGAATACACTTCTGTGAGATACAAATAAATTATTCCTCATGTTAACTCGATAAATATTTTACAAATCACTGTGAATCTTTTTTTTTTTTTTGAGACAATGTCTCCTATAACTGGATCCTCTTCTGAGTCCCAGGACAATGCTGAACTTCTGATCCTCCTATCTCCAACTCTTGAGTGCTGGGATTAGAAGTGTGTACCATTATGCCCACCTTTCATTTTTTTTTTAATGTGGTGCTAGAAATAGAACCCGGTGCTTCATGCTAGGCATGCACTCACTCTATCAATTAAGCGAATTCCCAGTCTTACAGTACAGTAGATACCATTAGTTCAAGATGTCTACTCCAATTGTGAAAAGTGTTATCTTGTCTTAGTCAAGTTTTTATTGCTGTAAAGAGACACCATGACTCTAGCAACTCTTTTTTTTTTTTTTTTTTTTTTGGTTTTTCGAGACAGGGTTTCTCTGTGTAGCTTTGTGCCTTTCCTGGGACTCACTTGGTAGCCCAGGCTGGCCTCGAACTCACAGAGATTCGCCTGGCTCTGCCTCCCAAGTGCTGGGATTAAAGGCGTGCGCCACCACTGCCCGGCCCTAGCAACTCTTATAAAGAAAACATTTAATTAGGGTGGCTGGGGTGGCTCCCTTACAGTTTCAGAGGTTCAGTCCATAGTCAACATGATGGGGAGCATGACAGCGGGCAGGGAGACATGGTGGTGACTACATCTTGGCTTGCAGGCAACAGGAAGTAACTGAGACACTGGGCAGTACCCTGAGCATAGGAAACCTCAAAGCCTGCCCCAACAATGATACACTTCCTCCAACAAGGCCATACCCACTGCAACAAAATCACACCTCCTAAGAGTGCCACTCCCTATGAGATTATGGAGGCCAATTAGATTCAAACTACCACATATATATTCCTAAACTTTCAACAATACAAAATAAGTCAAAGCATTATTAGTAACCTATGGATCTGTTTATGCATCTTCGTTCCATCACAAGTCCTAATTCACCTCTGATAGGCATATATTTTGTTCTTTTCTTATCCCAAAAATCAAGCACAGTCCACACCATCTAGTAGAGGATTGGTAGTATGTCAGCTGAATGACTGAATGAGTGAATAAATGATTTAAAAATGAAATTGCTCTATCTGAAGATCTAAAACTAATTGCCTGCTAGAAAGCTGGCATGCCCAGCACTGCCAGGAAGACTGGCCGTGTGACGAGTCACACTGGGCTCTTCTGGACAAGCAGGAAGCACAGAGCCGTCACCTAAGATAAGCTTACCCCAGTGGTTGCTGGTAATCGTCTTCCTTCATGAAGAGAAAATGAAGTAAAAATTTCTCTTAAGGCGCTTTTAAAAACATCATTCTCTTTTCTATATTTATAAAAGGTATGTGTCAGGGGGAACAAGGTAGAAACTACCTGTATTCACCAAAGCTAAAAGAATACTTAAACTCTGTACTAAGTATGACTTCACTTATTCAATGATGGGCTTAATTTGTAAGATTCTTTTTGTTTGTTTGTTTGTTTGTTTGTTTTGTTTTGTTTTTCTCTGTGTAGCTTTGCACCTTTCCTGAATCTCACTCTGTAGCCCAGGCTGGCCTCGAACTCACAGAGATCCACCTGGCTCTGCCTCCCGAGTGCTGGGATTAAAAGTGTACACCACTGCCCAGCAACTTGTAAGATTCTTAACACCTAAGATTTATGAAATAGTCCCAGTTTCCAAAAAGCAGGAAAAACTCACTACTGTTTTGTAATTTCTCCAGTGACATCTATACTATATAAATGCCTGGACCTAGTCACAGGTTAGAAAACAGACACAATTAAATAATTAAACAATGCATGACAGATGATCTCCTCCATCATTAGAAGTGGATGAACGAAGATGGAAGAAAGTGTTGAACAAGGTACAGAAGCAGAGATGGTGTAATAGGGATCCCTACTAAGGAAAGTTCTCAGAGTCAATAAAAGTGGATGAGGAAAGCTACATGGACAAAGACAAGCAAAAAGACAGATCAGGTGGCCAATCATTAACTGAAACGGTCCTTGAAAAGGACAGGTGTTTGAACTGAGAGACATAGGTGTGGCCCCAGGCAGGCTCTGGGAAATTAAATCGGTTGGCATGCTGACATGGAAGAGGGTTTCTAGAGCACATTAAAGAAGCCTATTTTCTGGGAAATGGTTACAACGGACAGTTTGTCAAACTCACACGTCTTAAATGTACAGGAAAGCAACACAGCTAACCTCCTGTGATTTCTTAAATTTAAAGGCAACAGAAACCCGATGCCGAATATTCTACATGAGCACACTTGGGTTTGACCTCTTTACACCAGTCATTGCTGCAAACCTGGAAAAAAAAAAAAAATCATGTAACCATCCAGGAAGCCTGGAGCCCTCGCGGCTCAAGTGAAAATACACCGGGATGCACTTGTGAACCGGAGAGCCGTACAAACGCTAAGGCTGAACCCAACTTCGCTCCAGCTCCCTCATTTGTACCCACCTTCACGGACCACGTCTGAAGAGGAGGCTTCGGCTCTCAAGCCTTCGGGGCTCTCCGCGCGTCCCTGGCCCAGGAAAAGCTGGTGATGGTGTGGAAACCGGGGCCCGCCGCAGCGTTCGGGAAGGCCCGGATTATCAACAGACCGGCAAACTGGGAGAACGCTGTGAACGGAGAGAGAACGCTGTGGGAGGCCCACGACGAGAGCGCTCATCTCCCGCCCCAGTTCCCACGAGTCGCCGCCCTTCTCCCCGCACGGAGGAGGCGGCGAGTGCGGGCGAAGTGCGGGTGGCTAAGGGCGCCCCGCTGCCTCACTGCCCGCCGGGTCCTGGACCTGTGTCCGAAGCTCCAAGGGGGAGGGACCCGGCCTCCCCAGGCGCAGGAGGTGGCCTCGTCCATCCCCCGTCCTCAGTGCAGCCTCCACCAGAGGGCCCAGAGCTCAAGTTTCCACTCAACGCTTTCGCGCTCTTGGTGCAACTCCTACTTCCTCCCCTCACTGCGCCTGCGCGGCGAGCAACGCCTGCACCGGCGCACGTGCAAAGGGTGTGGCCCGCGGCGGGACAGCTTCGTCCTTACCCTTCTCACCCGGCAGACCTCGGTTGTATAATCCTCAGCTCCAACCGCACCGCTCCGACGCTAGAGGTGACTCTAGTGCTCCTAACCAAGCATTTTTTCATGGGTAGACATACAGGATCCAGCTGGCTTCATCTTCACTTCCGAAAGAGTCTAAAATACAGTCAGCGCTGTTGAACTGGTGGGAAATGACTTCTAAACATGGGATCCTTTGAGTTAACTTTAAAGAGTTTTAAATATGCAAAACTAAGCAGATTTCAACCACTAGGGGTCTAGCGTGAAACCTTTAAAGGCATGTATGTCCCTGCTTGTCCTGGAGTTTCTGGGGATGTGTATATGAGGAGTTTGGAGAGTGTGAGAAGCTGTGAGTTAAGTGAGAAGAAAAATTTGGGAAGGGATCAAAATGAACCCACATAAATACTGGAGCTGATATACCTAAGAAAGGTGTTCCAGGAGATACAATGGGCTACTTGGAGTAACGCTCAGAGAGAAGGGAGCCCTAAGGCTCAATAATTCTAGGCTTTCGGAGGATGAAAGGACTGAAGAACATTAATTCTAAGTGACAGTCCTCAGGTCCATACTGGTCTATGATGACGTTTTCACCTGTCCTCAACAAAATAACTAAAGTACATTTTATTTTAATGTTTACAGGTGCTTTTGCCTGCATGTATGACTGTGCACCACACATACTTGTTGCCCACGGAGGCCAGAAGATGGTGTTGGATCCCCTGGAACTGGAATTACAGGCAGTTGTGAGCTGCCATGTGGGTGCTAGGAATTTAAGCCTGTATTTCCAAAAGAGCAGCCAGTGCTCTTAACCACTGAGACATCTCTCCAGTCCTGACAATATTAGTTTTTAATTTTATAAAATGAAGTGTATTATATTCCCCTCTCCTGCATGTATGACTTCCATAAAAATTTGATGCTAGAAATTATTTTACCAAAAAATGCTGAGACTAGTTGTAATATTCTTAACGAAGTATTGAAATCAAGTTCGAATTTGTGATGATTTATCCTTATCAGCTTGACTAGATTCAGGATCACCATGGAAACACACCATGGGGTGTGTCTGGGAGGATATTTCCAGGAAAGTTTTAACTGAGGAAGGAAGACCGACTTGAATGTGGGTGGCACTATCCCTTGGACTGGGGTTCTGGACCAATCAAAAAGGAGAAAGTGAGCTAGTTGAACATCAGCATGCATCTCTTTCTGCTTTCTAAGTGCAGATGCCATATGATCAGTTAGTCTCACACTCCTGCTGCCATGTCAACCGTGATGGACTGGACCCTCAAACTGTGAGCCAAAGAATGAAAAATAAGAAATAAAACCCTGGGTTTTTCGGGTATTTTGACACAGCAGCAAGACAAGTATCTAATGTGGGGCTCTTCTGGCTTAGTTATTGGTTGACTTCCTACTTGCTTGTGAAATACAGAAGTCAGGAAGCTAGTGAACAGTCAGATCCTTTGTTGATGCAGTTAAGGCTTCGGGTAGAGGAATAAGCAGCCCACGTTAGCACTCCAGTTTAGTTAGACACTGCTGATACTGGCTGTGTGCAGGACACTTCCCCAGCTGTCCCTTTTCTGCCTTTGTGCCTTGTCCTTAAGGAAATTATACTCCATGTCTGCTCCTGCCAAACCAATCGGATCCTATCCAGAAAAGCTTTCATGCGTGTGTGTGTGTGTGTGTGTGTGTGTGTGTGTGTGTGTGTGTGTGTACACCCACATACCACTGCACTGGTGTGTAGGTCAGGACAACTTCCAGGAGTCAGTTTTCTTCTACCATGTAGGTTCCTGGGATTGAACTCAGGTCCTCAGGCTTGGCAGCAAGCACTCTTGCCTGCTGAGCCATTTTGCTGGTCCTCTTCTACTTTAAAAAAAAAATTTTTTTTTGATAATCTAGATTCTCATTCATTCTCTCCAAGTCATTGGCACCTGTTACCATATTTTTATCTCAGTACCATTTTCTCCATTTCAATGCCACTCAGCCCCACTGGCTACCTATATCTGAATCTTCTATTAACCTTTAAAAATAGTTGTCTGGGTGTAATTACTAATAGCTTGGTACTGTTTCTAAGCAACAAGTATAGATTTTAGTAAATATTTTATTACCCACTGTAATGTCTGTGGCTGTCTCTTCTTCACTAACTTAATTGTGAATCCCTTAAGAGCAGCAGATATATATATGTCAGTCTTCCTTTTTCTCATGTCTAGAACACTCTTAAAGTGGTACGTACTCAAATGTAAGTGGAATTAAGAACTAAATAAACACATTATTTGCCCAGAGTATGCTTTAATAAATTTTTAAAAAATAATTGTATTTATTTGACGTCTTCTTGGTTTGCAAATGACAGTTTAGAACAAAGGAACTGGGTCTGGATGAACACAAGCAGGGAACCTCCGTAAGACATTTTCCCCTGGGACTCTGGTCAGTTTTACTTGTGAGTGGGAAGAGAAGAAAATAGTGTGAGGTGAAAGCAAGAAGATGAAGTAGTGAAGAATCTCCCAGTAGAGCGGGGGTTCTGGAGTGACTCTCCAGGGGTCTGCACCCTGGTTCATCCCAGATGGCATCCTGTCATCCAATAGGAGAGCGGCCGTTCTGAACAGTGCAACCTCCACTCTACCCTGTGGAGTGAAAAGAGAAGGTTTTTGTCCTCTGTTTAATTGCCACTTCTCCACACGTGTGATCTAGTACTGGCGACGCCTCCCTGCAAAGCAGCACCCAGAGTCCACTTCGTTCCTGGCTGGGCTGTCCTTTCTGAGTCTTCTTTGAGGTTCCCTCACTCCCGGGGCTTGCCCTCTTCCCTCATTCATAAGCATCCACATTTTTAATTCCTCACTTCCCTTTGAAGGTGGGGGTCACTATTCTATAGGATTTAGAGCTAATTAAAACAAAATCCTAGTTGCAACCTTTGAACCTCCCCTTCAAAAAGGATCAGCCCCAATGATCATTAAGTTTCCTTCCTGGATCTTGTTTTGAGCATGCAACACTTACAACTCTTTGCATTCTTACCAGTTCCTGTATATGGGCATTTGTATTAGTTTTAGGTCCAGTTTGAAGCACAGAAAAGGTTAAGTGGTCCCCTATGCCTCCAGTTTTGAGGAGCTGAAAACTTTGAGGTATCTGTCCCACTAAGGAGTCCCTTTTAATAGGAAATATTGTTGATTATGAGAAGGCCTCTGCAGGAGACACGTTTGTATGACGACTTCGCTATGCTTTTAGCGGGTTGGATCAAGGGGGAAAACACTGGTTCACACTGAACCAATTAGAGTCACTGTATCAGGAACTTTGACTAACCCATCCTCCAAGGACTTTAAGTTACAGACTTGGGATGTTGTCTTGTGGATTGGAGAGCAGGGGATGCTGGTCTGCAGAGACTGGTGACTTGAATGTGGAAGCCGTGGAAGCAGAACTGGCCATGAGAAGTCTCTCCTGAGATTCCAACTTTCTCCTGAGGCCCAGCTGCATCCCTTCAGTGGGCTCAGTAAGAGACATCCTCTCAAAATAAATTTCTGGGCTGGGGGATGGTTCACAAACATAAAGACCAGAGCTGGAATTTCTCCCAAAACCCACATAAGTGTCAGGAAGGCCTGTCCACCTCGAATTCCAGTGTTCTGAGGGCTGAGACAGGGGATTCCTGGAACAAACTCCTCAGCCAGACTAGCCAAATCCGTGAGCTCTGGGTACAATTTGGAGACTGCTCAATGAATAAGGTGAAGAGAGACCGAGGAAGACTCCATCAACATCAGGCCTCCACACACATGTATGCAGACATGCATACCACACACATACACAAACTAAAAATAAGTAACAAAATATTTAAACATGTGAACAAATAGTTTTCCTCTGCTAACTCAAGTTGCTTTGTCTTATTACAATCAAAAATTATTGCAGGGAAGTGGTAGTGCACGCCTTTAATCCCAGCATTGGAAGGTAGAGGCAGGTGGATCTCTGTGAGTTCAAGGCCAGCCTGGTCTACAAAGCAAGTTCCAGGACAGCTAGAGCTACACAGAGAAACCCTGCCTCGAAAAATAAAACAAAAACTAAAAAAAAAAAAAAAGAAAAAGAAAAAGAAAAAGAAAAGTTATTAATTCAATATCACAGAAAGAATCAACCCCAGGTATTATGTCAAAGAGTGCTATCCACTACCCCATCTTTTTCCTTTTTTAAATTTTTTGAGATTTTCATTTTTATTTTGTATGTGAGAGTATTTGCCTGTGTACCATGTGCATGCAATGTCAGTGGAGGCCAGAAGAGGGTGTTGGTTCCCCTAGGGCTGGAGTTGCTGATGTTTGTGATCTGTCGTCTGTGGGTGCTAGGAATTGAACCAGGGTCCTCTGAAAGAGCAGTCAGTGATATTAACCACTGAGCCATCTCTCCAGCTCCATGCTTTTCTAAACCTCTGTAAGCGATTGCCCACAAGTCCTTGTCCACTGCCTCTCGCTCTGTCGTATGCTCCTCCTAACTCAATCCTACCCGTCCTCCTCACCAGTTTCTCATCCCTCCTGATCCAGACACAATCTTTTTCGCACAGTGGATAGATGGAAGGAGGTTGGGACCCAGCATATCTGAAAAGAAAGAGGAGGTCACCTGTGATATGTTCAAAGGCTGAACCCAAAGACTAAACAGACACTGTCTCTGCCTGCACTTGTCAACCTAGGGCCTGAGCACTTCCAGATTAGGCAAGGCCTCCATCCTAGGGGCCCATTTAGATAGCCCTGCAGTGGCTGCCTGAGATGGGAAGTGAGGCCAGGAGGAGACTGAGCCTGCCCACTGCAGTTCCTCCAGCCAGGGTAGGTAACGGCTCACCCAGAGTTTTCAGATTTCTGGGAGGAAGACCAAGAAAAAGTCCTGCTTATAAAGGGGTCTGTAGGTGACAAACCCAAGAATGTTAGGGTAGGAAGGAGCCACTGGCCCTGCCAAGCCTCCTAGATTAGCTTTGAGGCAAGAAATTTGTACCTGGCCTTTAATCTGGCTGTTAGCCTGGGAACAAGTGAATGGATATACCTGAGCATTTAAGGCCACAAGTCACATTTCCAGGCTGCCTCCCTCCTTTCCCCCTTCCCTCCCTCCCTCCTCTCCTCCTCCCCTCCCTTCCTCAGACAGCATCTCACTGTATGGCCCCAGGCCAGCCTTGGATTTCTGGGCTCAGACAGTCCTCCTGCCTCAGCCTCCCAAATAGGTGGTACTAAAGACAACAGCCCTTAGAAGTTCTCTGAGCCTCAACTTGCTCCTCTGGGAAGCAGGGATCATAAAGTTTCTATTGTGTGGAAGGATGGATAAAATAAGCTATGCATAGGATATGCTCAATATATAACATGTTGTTAATTAGTGTGCCTGCAGTGCCACTCCCAGCCATTAAGAGCCTTTCTGGACCCTCCTCAAGGGACCCTCCAGACCCCATGCAAGGATGGGGCGTTAAGACTGTGGAGCGATTCCTCTACTCAGTCAAGGGACTCCTTGCTCTTTAAACCATCCCTGGAAGGACAGGCCTAGGCTGTGCCTGTAGTAGAGCCTGGTTTCCTCTCTCAGCACCCCCACCCCAGGGCTCCCAGCCAGACCTTCACAGTCCATGTGGCAGAAGTTCTCTGAATGACTCAGGTAGTCATTGCACCAGTAATGGCTGTTGATCTGGAAGATGCCGTAGTCGAAGCTGCCGTCTACATTCTCGTTCACCTTTGATGTGTTGAAGTTGCTTTCCACAAAAGCCAAGCACAGCCCTTAGAACAGAGAGAAGAGGCTCAGGCGTTAGAAGGATGCAAACTGAGTGGGAAGGAATCCACTGAACAAAAGTGGGATCAGGAGAGGGAACAAGGCCCAAGAGGCTAGCTATTCCTGAAGAGCTAGAAGTACCCACAGACTCCATCCGTCCTTCAGTCCATTTCCCTGTCCATTTGTACAGCTGTCCCCCCATCTTTCCACCCACTTATGTTTTCTACACTTGCTGAGTACCTACTGTGTGCCAGGACTATGCACAGCCCAATGGACTGGTGTTGACTTCAAGGGGCCTAGAACAAAAGTATGTGCTTAACACACACACACACACACACACACACACACACACACACACACGCACGCACGCACGCATGCACGCACGCACGCACGCATGCACACACACACACACACACACACAGCATGAGAAGTGGAGAAAGTGTCACAAGGCAGGTGTGCACAGATTTCAGGTGGAAAGGAAAGAACCCTTCCATGTAGGACCATGGACAAAGCCTTTGCACTGGCTGCTCCTTTGGCCTGGAATGCCTTTCCTCTAGACATTTGTCGGTTCATTCAACACTGCCCAGGGTCACTTCCTCAGAGTCTGTCTCTGACCTCCTCATTTCAGCAGTTACCTTTGCACATGTATTTGTTTTTAAGATTTTTTTTTTAAGTGTGTGTGGTGGGCGGTGCAGGGCAGGTGGGCAGACAGACAGAGACAGAGAGACACAGAGAGAATGAGAATGCGTGTTGAAGTTAGAAAACTTTTGGGAGACGGTTCTCCTCTTTGCCTTTCTTGTTTCTGCAGGTGCATCACGGACTCCAGGCTGGCCAGCCTATGAACTTCAGGCTACTTTCCCTTCCTCTGCACTCATTTTGCCATAGAGTCCTGGGATTATAGGTGTGGTAAACAGTGTCATCTTTAATTATGTGTGTCTGTGTGTGTGCGACTTCAGGGTACCTGTGGAGGCCAGGGGTATCAGGCTCCCTGGAGATGGAGTTGCAGATGGTTGCGAGCTGTTGGACATGGGTGCTAGGACTCAAATCCAGGTGTTCTGGAGGACCAGAACATGTTCTTAACTGCTGAGCCATTTCTCCAGCTCCAACTTTTCAAAACAATGTTGGTTTTAGGGATCAGATTCGGTTGTCAGGCTCACAGGGCAAGCGCTTCTACCTGCTGAGCCGTCTGCTGACCCCTGAAGCCTTTTTTTTTTTTTTTTTTTTTTTGGGTTGTTGCTCACTGCTGTAGTTTCAGTACAGACTTTTTTGCCTGCTTGTTTGAGACAAGAACTCGCTATCTATCCCTGCTTGGCCTCATAGCAACCCTCTTGCTTTCAACTCTGGGAATCATAGGCCTGCATCACACACTTAGTGCGTGTGTCACCGCCAGCCAAGACTTTATGTCTGCGTGTGTGCTTGTTGCTGCTATTGCCCTCCTAGAGTGTGATCACGGTGAGGGAAAGAATTTGATTACATTGAAAACAGTGGTGCATAATAAGTGCTCAGTTAATGGTTGTTGGTTGAAATGCGGCGTGTTGGGAAAGGCTTCTTGGTGGGGGCGGGAGATGGTTCTTTGAACTTGACTTTGAAAGACAAATGGCAAAGGAGGGAAGGGGGTAAGAGAGCTAGAGGAGGGGTGGAGAGGAGCTGAGGCAGCGGCACTCACAGTCGGCCAGGGAGTAGCCCTCAAACCCATCCAAGTCCTCCTCGTGCAGTATCTTGGCCAAGGCACAGCGATTGATGAGGTCTCCACCATTCACCACCAGGAGGCAACTTGCCATGCAGATAAGCAGCACCTTCATCATCATCGAAAGGAACAAGGTGCCTGCCAGCCTCTGAGAGCCTGGGGGATCTGAGGAGAGAAACCGCATTTTCCTGCTCACTCAGTGCTCAAAGCCTGGTGAGTTTCAGTGCCCCCCTCTACCCCAGTCTCGCTTTACAGCCCAAACCTATCCTGGAAATCAGTATGTAACCAGGCTGGCCTTCAGCAATCCTCCTGCCTCTGCTTCCAGAGCCTTAGCGTCACAGACAAGAGCCACCACACTCAGCTCATTTTTTTTTTAATTCATATCATATTTTGGGTCACGGGAAATTGAAACACAAAAGGAGAAAGAGAGTAATCTCATGATCCTCTGCATACCCATTGCCCAGATTCAACAGCTCAAAATCAAGACCACCCCGGCTTCATCTGCAGGTCCTCCTGTAATTAGGCACAGGCAGCATTTGGGTGCAGGATGGGGAGCAAGGCTGACAAAGGAGGGGAGTAGACTGTGCTTCACCAGCATTTGTGGTGTGTGTTTGAGCATGTGCCTTCAGAGGAAGGACTGGAACACTGGGGTGCCGATCTCCCCCAAGCCATACTCCCAGACATGTGAAATACGACCTTCACCTCTGCAAACTATGCCTTGTGCAATTCCTGGTGGGTTACTTGTAGATTCTGTTGGCTTGTTTCTGTCAAGGTGCATATCAGAAGCAAGTAAAAGTAATCTTGTTATAGAAATAACCTGCACTTTAATGCTCTCTCTGTCTCTCTGTCTCTCTCTCTCTCTCTCTCTCTCTCTCTCTCTCTCTCTCTCTCTCTCTCTATCTGTGTGTGTGTGTGTGTGTGTGTGTGTGTGTGTGTGTGTGTGTGTGTGTGTTTGAAGATCAAGGACTCTGAATTCCCACCCACTGCCAGCTATCAAAGGCTGGGCTGCTGTGCGACTTTGAACAACATACTTATCTCTCTGGACCCCATGTGTGAAATGAAAATTTATTTATTAATACCTACCCAATCAGAATGATGGTATGATTAAGATACATAATAAACACCCAAGACTTTGTTTCGTGTTCCTTACAAAGTGGAACCGAGACTCCTAGGAATGTGGCAGATTTCTGGACTACAATAGGAATATGGTGTGGGCATAATGATTGGTTTGAACAAGAACTATCATGGGTACCAAGTCTGAGGTGGTGGAAGCTAGAGGAATATCAGGACTTGTATACATGGTCTTGGTCCTCCCCATATTGCTTAGCAAAACCCAGACAGTGTTTTGACCTTGCAACTAAAATTAACATTGTCATTGAGGGACAAAGGGACACTCTGTACCTCTAGATACATAAACTCTTGCGAGGTGCTCTGGCCAAGGATGGGAAGCCTGGGTCTAATGATGAAGAAATGAAGAAGAGAGTATAAAATAACTGTGTTCTCTCCTTCAAAATGTTCATTCCATGAGAGCACATGGGGCCTGCTCCTGTCGTAGGATATGCATCTTTCCCTTTAAACCAGGTGTATGGTGTTGATAGCAAAGGCCCAATCCCTCCACCTTCCCCTCAGCATCTGCAGGGGCAAGATGGCTTCTCTGGTGACCTTGCTTGCCTCCTGGTCTCTTGTTTTGCCTATCTTTGCCACACAGCATGCACTCGGGAGGGACATTCTTTGGCTATTCTCACTACCCCACTCTGTTGTTGCAAAGAGAACAAATGGCCCTGTTGAATTAGGATTTCAGGGAAATAGCAAATTGCTGTTTGACAGATACTTGCAGCCCTCCCCATCCTGACTCAGAATGTCCCTCTGAGATAGGTTTCTCAGAGCCTTGGGATGCTGAAAGGTCTGCCTTGGGCGATTACACCCCTCAAGGATTCCCCTTGGGGTTACAGTGGTCCCATCATGGGGCTCTATCCAGCTTCCAAGCCTACCTACTTCTCTGGCCCTAACTCCCAGCCAGCCCAGGGCCTTCTGGAAGGATCTACGGGACAAGGTGGTTTGTGGCAGGAACCTCCTCTTCCTCACCAAGCACTCTCCAGCCCCACCTGGCTAATGGTTCTCCTTCTTCTCAAGAAGGCATGTGTTCTTGACCACCCCAGCCTTCTGGAACCCTGGTTCTATGATGTCATCACTCCCGTAAATATGCTGGTTTGAACTGTGCAAACTGTCTAAGCTTTAGGTAGCAATGGCAGATGGGTCTGGAAGGCAAGGAGCCCCATGTAAGGCAGACCAACAGGGCAGAACCCTTCCGCCTCCCTTTCTTTCTGGGAACAGGACCACCTTGGTTTCTTAGGAAGAGCTGCCAGTCACAGGTCCCGCCCCTGAGCTGCAAGGGTGTGTGTCCATGTTTGTATTCTGAATTGGAACTCTGCAGAGCTAAGGAGCTTTGCACAGGACCCAGAGCCTGCATTTTGAATTTCTGTGGACACAGCCCCTATGAGGCACTAAGCCTTCATGAAAAGTCTGTGGAGTCTGGACCAGGATCCAGTCCCAGAGGCAACCCTTCAGGGATTCACACACATCCTTCCTTCTCCTGTCTGGGACTCAGTGAGTGCCCCTTCTTACATAAACACATTTGAGTTGTGTTTCTGTTGTGTGCTCACAAAGAAGACCTACCTGGAAGGACTTCAAAGGGGCACTGAAAAATATTTAGAAATTACTGTCATTAAACAAAATATATTCTGTGGAAAGGGAATTATGGGTCAGGCATGATTAAGAAGCACAACATAACTTACAAGTCCGGAAACAACGCCCACCATCTTGAAGCTGATACTTGCTGTGCTAGCCAGCAGCCACTAGAGGACAGAAGCAGCCTTGGTTTCCGAGTTCATGTTTCCTGGAGTGTCTTCCCTTAGGTGCCCCAGCCTCCCCCAGGTGGCCACTACCATTCCCTTTAGACTTGGTACAGCTTGGATTTCAGCCTCAGTCTCTTTGATTCTGATTCTACCTTGTCAGTCCATCAGCACCAAGAGAACTTCCTGCACTCCCAGATCTTTGTCAAAGAGGGTCCTGACTCGAATAGTGGCAGTCACAGTTTCCGGTTTGTGGAGCTGGCGATGGCATGAGAGAGTTGTGATTCTCCGGGTATCTTTCGAGAAATCTCCCATTCCCTTTGCCTGGAGCCTCACAGTGAGGAAGCAGAGTGACTGAAGGGGCCAGCTGCTGCAGCTTCACAGGCTTAGGTAGCCTAGTTAGCACACAGTAGACAGGGTGACTGGGGCGAACCACTCAATAAAGGAGAAGAAAAAGAGAGCAGGGTTAATGCACCCAGGTGAAGTGATGGGGCTGTGCCCGTGGGATGAGGCACAGAGTCTTCCTAGGAGAACAAATGTCGACCCCGACGAGCTCTGCTACAACGCTCAACACTTAGCAGGGAATCCTAAGAATCAGCTTCAGAGAAGCTGAGCATCGTGCGCAAAGTCTCCGAGCTGGAAGGAGGCAGCCTAAAAGCTAAACCCAGATTTGACATGAACATGTGAGCTTAGCTGCTACTCAAGGGCACTCACATAAACAAAATTGTCATTATTTATTTATTTATTTATTTGTTTGTTTGTTTGTTTATTTGAGGCAAGAACTCCCTCTGTAACCCAGGCTAGCCCCAGACTCGCAGTCTACTTCCTGCCTTAGCCTCCCAAGTGCTGATGGGCTTACCCTGGAGCACCAGTGTCCAGCCTGCTGTTGTTTTTTTGAGGAAAGCCACACCACATGTTGCAAATCTGTGAGGTGGCTTAGTACGTTTCCCGTTTTGTTTTGTTTTCATTTTCTGTTGATTGTTGAGTCTAGGTGCTTAATCGGATGAAGGTTTAAACTTTCATTGAGTCTAGTTGTCTCCCCAAAGGTATTTTCCTACTTTATTTCTGTTGCTGCAATTAAAATACCCTGACAACAAACAACATAGGAGAGAAAGGACTTGTTTTAGCTTTCACTTCCAGGTTACAGTCCATTGCTGCTGGGAAGGGACCATTGCACTTCCAGGTTACAGTCCATTGCTGCTGGGGAGTCACCATGAAAGGAGCTTGAGACAATGGTCACATCACATCCCCAGTGAATAGTGGAGAGAAATGGATGCATGAATGCTGCCTGATTGCCTTCTTGTGATCAGCTTGATCTCTCTACTCTTAAACAGTTCAGGATCGCCTAGGGAATGGCACTGCCCACAATGGGCATGCTCCTCCCATATCAGTTGACTTGGTTAAGACAACCACCAATAGACATGCCCATAGGGCAATCCAAAGCAGACAGTCTCTTGTTGACAGACTCCCTTTCCAGATGATTCTAGGTTACATAAGCAATTATAGCTAACTATCACAAGCACATAATGGCCTCCTTAACAACATTGACATAGTTGGTGTTGAGTGCTACTCCAAACAGTACATACTCTTAAGAGCTGAGCCATCTCTCCAACCCAGTTCCCTTTTTAAAATTCTTATGAAGTAAGAGGTAGCAACCACTTTTTAAAATAAAGGCCTACGTAGTATTATTTCAGCCCCTTCAGACCGTAAGATCTCTGGTGGAGCTTTGGTGCTGTCATCATGGCACAAAATCAACCACAGATAATGCATCCGTAAATAAGTCTGTGCTACAGTAAACTTTCTTTGCAAAAACAGGTGGTGCAAAAACAGACTTGGTTCATCAGCTTGGCACTGATCTGTCTTATAAACAACAATGTGTGGTGTGCCTCCTTTGAGACCAGCCCTTGTAGTATTAAATAATCATTTTCTTGTGTTAGTGGTTTCATGCTATTTTCAGAAGCAGGGTCCTTTTTCAAATGAAACATAATAAAATTCATCTAGCCAAGGACTGGAGAGATGGCTCAGCAGTTAAGAGCACTGGCTGCTCTTACAGAGGACCCAGGTTCACTTCTCAGCATCCCCCCTGTAACTCCATTTCCAAAGGGTCTGTCACCCACTTCTGGCCTCCGTGGATACTGCACGCAAAGGGCCTGGATCTTTGAAAATCTTAACAATAGCAGTTAAGATCATGAAGTGAGTGTAGCTAGAGTTTTCCTGCCTTGTCCACAATCAGTACAAATCTTTGTCACCCGCCAGTCCCACAGCCGCTCAGACCCAACCAAGTAAACACAGAGACTTATATTGTTTACAAACTATATGGCCGAGGCAGGCTTCTTGTTAACTGTTTTTATAGCTTAAATTAATCCATTTCCATAAATCTATACCTTGCCATGTGGCTCATGGCTTACTGGTGTCTTCACATGCTTCTTGTCATGGCAGCAGCTGGCAGTGACTCCTTCTGTCTTCTTGTTCTTTCTTTTTCTCCTCCCCATTAGTCCCACCTATACTTCCTGCCTGGCCACTGGCCAATCAGTATTTTATTTAATGACCAATCAGAGCAACACATTTGCCATACAGAACATCCCACAGCAAGTGAGTGTACCAAGACAACCAGTCCCAGAAACATTTATCAAACCTGCCCCTTGCTTTACCTTTTCAGATGTCTCATTGGCTAGAAGAGGTCATATGGCTAGTTTGTAGAAAGTGTGAATTCTTGGTTCATCCATGGTGACAGTCAATCACAGGTCACAGGAGGATGGATCCCTGCGCCCAAACAGTTCGAGTGGAAGAGGTAGTAGGATTGGCCCAGGCACTATCGTGGGTCCTCTGTTTCTGGAAGAGAATGTGTCATTGGCAGCTCCCACTGTAGCTGGTTGCAATGGAGGCAAAGCAAATATCACCCATTTTCCCCAGGTCAAGCTTCCTTAACAAGACTGGATACAAGCTTAGCCAGAGCTAGCCCCTGTGCCTTGCCCCAAGTACCTGTTTGATGCCCAGAGTTCAAAGGCACTTCCCTTAAACTACTGAATGTGAGATTACTTCCTGTCTTCACAGGTCCTGATGCAAGTGATGAGAGACACTACATGCCTGGTCCTCCTTTGGGTCGGTATCTGATTGCCATCCTGTTACCTTGGAGACTCAGTGCTGAGCCCTTAGATGTGCTCATGAAGCCTGAGAATGGTTTCCCATGCTTAAGCTGGAGTTGGCATCACTAAGCCATTTGGGACACCAACTGAAGCTTCCCTTCCTGTGTTCCATTAGCCTGTGGCACTGGCCTGGCCTCTGGGTGCCCAGCATGCATTGTCTGCCCCTAGCTATCATTTTTAACCAGCTTGTCCTTACCAGGTTTCTCTGTCCTCCTCTCTGCCTGCGCTCCTTGTGGTGGGGATTGACCTGCACACCATGATTTCCCAGAGGTGGAACCCCTTTTTATTGTTTTGAGACAGGGTACCATACATCCCAAATGGGTTTCAAACTTAACAGGTAGCAGAGAGAGGATGATCTTGAACTTCTGATCTGCCTGCCTCTATTTCTCCAGGGCTGGAATTACAAGCCTGAAACACCATGCTTGGTTTATACTATGCTGGAAGTCAGGCCTAGGGCCTTATGCAAGTGCCCTACCAGCTGAGCTACACCCCCAGCCCTTCCTTTTGTTTTTTTGTGAGACTTTCCTAGAACATATGGGAGTTCACCTGCCTGAGCCTGTTACCCCACCCCTCCCCAGGCTGGTACTACAGGCATGAGCCACGGGACCCACCTCTTTAAGGTTCCACCATCTCCTAGTGCCACCACACTGGGAACAAAGTCATCAACACATAGACCCTTGGGGGACATTCCAACCCTATTCAAACTTCAGCAACCATCAAGCAGCCCTGATTTTCCCTCCAGCTGTCTACACTGGCAAATATCCCCCAAGGGTCCACAATAACAGGGAACCACAGGCTCCTCAAGCCCTGTCATTAAGGGCTGGCATCTTGCTCCACTCCCCGTTGTACTGGCTGGTGGGGAGGCTGGTGCCCAAATGGGCAGCCCAGAAGGAGCCTTCTCCCGTTTTTCCTTCCTCCGGGCTTGTTCTTTCTGCTCGGGAAGCCAGATGCTTCGCAGTTTAATTACATGCTTTGCAGTTGGAAGTACAGAATGTCAGTGCTGGAAAGGAAGGACCTCGTTATAGATAATAGCTACCAGCATTTATTGAGCACTTACTCTCTGCCAGGTGCTCTGCCAGGCCTGTTTCCAGGCATGGCCTCATTTAACTTCTGCAGCAGCAGCATCTATGTTCTGCATAAAGAAC